AATCGATCTTCCTTTTGAACTTGCTCTGGCTTTTGATATTTTCTGTTTCTTTCTGTTTGTTTTGTTTTCAAGTAAAGGCTTATCTCTGCTGTACTTTCTTATTGTTGGTAGTGTCTTGACTCTCTGTTATGAATCTTTCTATGTTTTCTGGTATACAAAACCAAGGTTAGGGGAATCTAGAGAGACAATAAATAAAATGGGGTTCCTGGGGAGGGAGGGAATTGGGAGCTGATGTCAAGGAGTGCAGAAAGGAAGAAAATGTTTTGAAAATTATTGTGGTGGCGATTGTACAACACTGCTTCATATAACTGAACTATTGAATGGTATGATATTTGGAGTATATGCTAATAAAATGGTTTGAACAAAAGTCATAGACAAAAACAAGGATAAAGCATACACACACACACAGATTCGGAATACACCCAGAAACCGTAACTTAATATTTTGATACCTTTGTTTAATAAACGTTTTAACAATCGTCTTTGACTCGTGTGGGTGTGTCTGTGTACACATGAGGCGATCCTACTCTGTGGTGATGAGTTGTCATCGGCTCAATGACATTGGGTTTGGTTGGTATAACTGATTAAATGCTCGTCTGCTCACTTCCTAGCATCCAAACTACTACAGCTGCGGTTTCCATAATGGTGGTTCGGGTGTATATTGTATCTTCTTCTGGTTCTACGGCGATTAAGAAGAAACAGCAAGACATGCTTGGTTTCTTGGAAGCCAACAAAATGGGGTTTGAGGAAAAAGATATTGCAGCAAATGAAGAAAACCGAAAGTGGATAAGAGAAAATGTACCAGAAAACAGTCGACCAGCTACAGGGTACCCCTTGCCACCACCGATTTTTAACGAAAGCCAGTACCGTGGGGACTATGATGCCTTTTTTGAAGCCAGAGAAAATAATGCAGTATATGCCTTCTTGGGACTGACAGCACCACCTGGCTCAAAGGAAGCAGAAGCCCAGGCAAAGCAAAAGCTGCACGCATGAACCTTGAGCGTTCCCTTTCAAACTTCCTGAAAAGGACATCTCCAATGCTGTTATAAAATAGAAAACAACAACAACAATAACAATTATATTGGCTTCAAAATAAATTGGCTTACTATGAAAATACATGTTATTTTCTGTTTTGTATGCAAATAACCAAAATGAATGTGTAATTAAAATGTGACTGTTAAATGAGAACAAATAAAAATAAAAGTTAGATATATGTCATGGAATAGTATTATCTATCAAGGCAATGTATGTACGTCAATGATTTTATAAAGGAATACCAATTGCTTTTTTTGGGTATCATTATTGCAGCTTAACTGTATTTGTAGCTAAACTTGTTAAACAATAAGTAATTGCAAAATAAGAATGAAGGAATTTTCTGATACTCAAATAGCTTCATTAATTTTAGTGAACAAGAATATATACCTTTTTATGTGTTGCTATTATGATTAAAAGTAGTAGCAAGTGATGTTTATGATTTGTCAGTTGTTCTCTATGA